GAGGGGGCGACTGGGACGGGGAAACTGAGGCACGCAGGGGGTGGGGGGAAGGGAGGGTTGGGCAGTGTCATAAATGTGGGTAGCACAGTACGGGCACTGCCTCAATGACAGAATTAGGTACTAAAATAATAAACCCCCCCCCAATCCACATCAGGCCGAGCGCGGGGCATTCCCCAGCAGTCTGACATAACAAGCCCCGGGGGGGGGGAACGGGGGGGGGGGAGCTTCCTCAGCCTCCCACGCACGGGAAACCGCTCCCAGATATACTCAGCAGCCCCCGCACCTCTTCCCGCCCAGGTCGGGCCTGGCCCCTGGCCCCAGTGGTGGCCCAGGGCTTGTGTCCCACCGGCAGCTGGTCGCAAAGAACAGGGACTAGTGGCCTTTCTTCAGCCTTGAGGGGAGGGGGCTGGAAAAGGCAAGTCAGCCTTTGATCTGCTGCTGCCGCTGCCACCGCAACACTCCTCGACTTTGAAGTGCTTCTCCGCTGCAAACACAACTCTTGTAACCCAGCTGTCTCTGTCTTTGATAATGCCACACAGCCAAGAATTTTTTTCTAGAACGCCATTCAGGCCATTAACACGCCAGGAAAATGCTTGAAACGACATATCTGCTTGAATCACCAAAGTTTTTAGGGGACACACGGTGCTTTTTAGACTTGATGGATCTGTCATGCTCTTATTTATAATGCAGCCTGATACACAAAGCTTTGTCAATGTTACTTCCCTCATCATTGCATGGAGCCTGTTCGTTTGGCTCTGTTTTCAATAATATTCAAATACCTGCAAGAAACAACTCCCTCCCCCCCTGCGCTCTCATGCGCCTTTATAAGATGATGGGAAAGGGAAAAGCTGCGTTCTGGTGCCTTCTTCAGTGCCATTATTCAGCAAAAGGGAAGTGATCAAGTACTCTCCTCCTCCAAACAAGTATTTGCCCATGTGCAAACAGATTACTAACACCACGTTAACCGAGAGATGCGGGGAAGGAGCCCTTTCCTTACTCTGTCTGTTTTTCCCAAAGCAGCCAGTGTAGCGATGGCTCCAAGTTTACAGTTCCTGCCCTCATGTTATTTTGTGGAGAAATTGCTTTTAACAAGTATCAGCAGGAGTCTCCCTTTAGAAGTTTCCCTTTAAAGCAAAGGATAAAATAAATCTCATTATGGAGGTAGAAGTTTATTTCTGTGATATCTACTCTACAAACTCTACAACCATGCAAGTGTTCATGCTCTAGCCTGCAGAAAATTCAGAGGATCTCCATCTTCCAGGAAAAAAAAAAAAAACAAAAACCCACCTTGAAAACCACAAACCACTTAGATTCAAAAATTCAAGTTCTTCAGCTTTTAACCTTCAAACCCATAAGGCAGCAGAAGCAAGTGAAAGACCCAAGTGCAAGGGCGCTGGTACGTTTCCTCCCCTCTGCCTCGTGTCATCTCTTGGCTGGAAAACTTACCCTTGTACAGGTGCTGATCTCAGGGGCTGTCCTGCCTGTCTCACAAAAATCACATTGTTTGCTATCTTCAGAGAGACTAAAGCCGGGCTACAGTTAAATATGGAAAATTCTCTTTTAACATCCTTTGCTATAAGTCACAGTCCAGAAGAACCTTCAACAAGTCCTTTATTTCATGCTGCTGAAAGTTCTGTATTTTCAATGACAATTATTAAAGTAGTAAATTCTCACTTATCAAAACGACCATCAAAAAGCAGTATGTCAGAGACCAAGTCGTCCTGCATCACTTTCTAATACAGCATATAGGAAATATAAACAAGCCCTACAAATACCTTACATGCATAGTAAGATATTAGTTTTGTTTTGGTTTTTTTACATTCACTTGGTCAATTTACAAATAATCACTCTAGGCAGATACTTTAAAATATCATACAACAACATGAGTACAACCTCCATCTTATCCCTCAACTTTCTTACTGAAATGTAGAAATTGTCCTTGGCACAATAAAAATATATATATGTATGTATGTGTGTGTGTATATATATATATACACTGTCCATTTTGTCTCTGTATTCCAAACAGTAATAACACTTTAAACGCATTGCTCTGGTTAGAATGAAGTGACATTACAGTTTATGAATAGTAATGGACAAAAATCCCTTTTCTCTATAAGGGCTGATAAAAGTATAAGTCTACATCAAAAATAAAAGTCAGTTGCTTTTAAGAACAAGGTATCTTTAAAAAAAAAAAACAACAACTCAAAGTTGTGCTGTTTCCATCAACACAGATGTCTTAAGATTTGTTACAGAGATTTAAAAGCAAACTGAATGCCTTTTTCCAAACCTGTGAATTTTTAAAAATTATTTAAAATTCATTAAAGTTCTAAAAACCCAGTTTATGCTCAAAGGGTAGACAGTACTTTTCAACTGTATAGAAAACAAAGCAGTGGAAAAATACCATTTTTGAGACATTCAGAAAGCAACTTGGATGCTTTAATAAAGACTTCTAAAACCAGAGCTAAATTAAGGTAAAAAACAGCAGTACAAAACCTGTATTTACCTCAGTCTTCAATATGAAACAAGAAAATCAGACATGCGTATCTCTCCTTTTTCCATTATTAGATAGCTTATGTACCTGCAGTTGTTGATCTGCACCCACTTTCAACCAGATCCATTTCTGCAGTTAAATATGCAGACTGGGAATTGCTTTTAAAGCAGTCAATTAATCACTCTCTTCACTGGAGTCAAAAATGTCACTGAGTCGGAACACCGCCGTCTGTTTCCTGGCTGCTGAATTGTCAGAACTAAGGTGATTCCCTTTCCTTTTTTCCAACTTTTCTTCAAGTTCTGGAAGTTTCTTTTCAAAAAGATAATCAATGATTTCTTTGGAAAAAGAGAAAAAAAAATAGTCTTAATTCGATCTGTAGGGGAACTGGATGCCTTGGGGAAACAGGATCTTACAGACAGCAATTATTTTGTCAGTGTTAAATGCAAAAAAATCTCACTATGCCGTAGTAATCATAGTGGCTGCAGGGCAGATCAGACACATACATGCAAAGATAAATTAAAAAAACACAGTCGTAAAACTTTTAAAGCCAAGGTATTAAAGAGAAGTGGTTGATAAGCCCTCCATGAAGATGCCATTGAAAGTAAACTGTTATTAAAAAAGAGTATTTAGTAAAATAAGTATAAAGCCTGAGATTTTAGCCAATTTACTTAGGGGAAAGCTAACTAAGGAAGCATTAAACTAGAATACATATCCTTTTAGAGTCAAGCAAAAACCTTAAGGAGTATATAAACAGCTGGGATACTGACCAGAAAAAGTCTTATTTTGCCAAAAAGGGACACAGGAGACTTTCATCTTATAAAATTTTGCTTGAACATAGGTTTTAGGGACATCTCTGAAAAGAGAAGAGTTCAAAGAATTAGTGGTGCAAGGAACTATTACAAAGTTTAGCTGTTATTAAGTTATCCATTCACAAGAGTGATGCCAGTAAAACAGAACCTTAAGCCTGAGGTAGAAAGGATGGATTTCAAATCCTAATCCAAACAGTTTTTCAAGACAGCAGTTCCCCTGCTG